TAGCCTCCTGAGTAGCTGGGATTACAGGTGTGTACCACTACACCCAGTTAATTTTTGTATTTTTATTAGTGATGGGGTTTCACCATGTTGGCCAGGCTGGTCTTGAACTCCTGTCTTCCTGATCCACCCGCCTCGGCCTACCAAAGTGCTGGGATTATAGGCGTGAGCCACCATGCCTGGCCCAATGGGTGTGTATTTTAAAGTTTGTTTGAACTGGGATCAAAATGGAGTCCAAACATAGCTATTGGTTCATCTGCAAGTCTCTTTTAGTCTAGGTTCCTCCATTGTGTCTTTATTCCCTGTAATTTATTTGTTGAAGATACCAGGTAGTTTGTCCTGTGGAGTTTCCCAGAGTCTGGAGTTGGCTAATTCATCCCTGTGATGTCATTTAATGTGTTACTCAGTTTTCTGTATTTTCTGTAAATTTTTAGTTGACTCTAGAGGCTTGGACAGATTCAGACTGATTTTTTCTTTTTGTCAAGAATACTTCAGAATATTATGCAGCCATAAAAAAGGAGAAGCTCATATTCTTTGCAGGGACATGGATGGAGTAGGAAGCAAACAAATACAGGAACAGAAAACCAAACACTGCAAGTTCTCACTTATAAGTGGGAGCTGAATAATGAAAACACATGCACACAGTGGGGGCAACAACACACACTGGGGCCTGTCACGGGTAGGGGGGAGAGAGTGCATCAGAAAAAAATAGCTAGTGGATGCTTGGCTTAATACCTAGGCGATGGGTTGATCTGTGCAGCAAACCACCATGGCGCACGCTTACTTATGTAACAAACCTGCACATCCCACACATGTAACCCGGAACTTTAAAGTTGAAGAGAAAAATAAAAAGAATATTTCGTAGGAGGTATACTACGTTGAATAGTGTTACCCAAATTTCATGTCCACCTGGAAACTTTGAATGTGGCGTTATTTGAAAATAGGGTCTTCGTAGACGTAATCAAGTTAAGATGAGGTCGTGCTGGATTGCGGGGAGTCTAATCCAATGGGACTGGTGTCCATAAGAGAGAAATTTGGACGCAGACATCCACAGAGGGAAGATGGCCAAATGAAGATGGAGGTAGAGGTTGTAATGATGCTGTTATAAGCCACAGAATATCAAAGGTTGCCAGAAACCACCAGAAAGAAGC